ACTTTCCCAGGACATACATCCTGGTACCCATTTTAAGCTGGGTCGACCTTCGACGCCTCTTACTATGATAAAAATCCACGCAGCCAGCAATAGGTTTCTATCGCAGTACGATGGAATTACGAGTCTGACTTGCAACGCATAAGCACTGTCAGAAAGAGAGTGCTAAAACATTCCATTGAACCTGTTCTGCTGTATGGCAGCGAATCTTGGAATGTTAGTGAACAAATTAGGAGGAAGCTAGAAGCAGCAGAGATGTGGTTTCTGAGACGAATGTTACGAATACCTTAGACGACAAGAGTAACTAACAACGATTATTTGAAAGAAGCTAATAAAGTTTATCTCTTTATACAACAATAAGGAGACAAACACTGTTCTTTGGCTACTTTATGAGAGAAGAGGCATTGGAAAACATCGTGGCAACTGGACAGATCAGTGGAAAGAGGAGAAGAGACAGACCAAGAGATATGATGCCGCGATGATGACATCCAATCACATCAAATAATAATACTGATGATAAAATAATGTTTCGTATTTAAAGTGTTTTGCTATATTCTGACGTAAATTTGTTCACTGTTAACTCATTGTTTTTTAATTTGATCGTACAGCTCAAGTGTGAGAGGTACTGGCCTGAAGATGGTGAAATGAAAGTCGGGGAGATCGCAGTCTCTCTGACCACCACTCAAGTGTTTGCTGATTACACCATCCACAGACTCCAGCTGAAGAAGGTATCCTTTCTTTAGCTAAGGAGGAAGGGAGCGGAGAACGTATAGCAATGTCATGAATGCAGTGATAACATTTCTTTAATCCTTTATGTCTGTAAAACAAAAGAGATTATTGAATTTTCAGTTGAAACAAATAATTACGCGTCGCACACTTTGTTGAAATATTTATTGGCTGTTTCTTTCAAACAATATTATTCATGATGGATTTGTTTCACTGTTTCAGGCATCATTGTTATGATCATCATTACCAACATTATTGTCAACATCATCATTATTTCTACACAGACAAGTTTGTTGCAATTTAGTAACTTCGACCACAAATTATCTTTCATAACAGAGTGTCAGCCCACTTAGACCCACTCTTCCTTTGGTGTCCTACGTTTCTTCGTTTTTGGCCTGACTCTACATAAAAACTCCCGCCCCACTTTTCCACCCTTTTCATGCACTCCCATACACCCCTTTCCCCCACCGCCTTTTATCTCATCTCCCAGTGTGATAAAAATAACGACAGTCTTGACCTAGTGAAATCAGATGGCTTTACCTAGCACAAATTGTTGCAGCGCGTGTATCATTCAAAAGCTAGATTTCTTACTATAGTCATGAAAAGAACTATTTCTACGCCAACTGCGTGTGGGTGTTTGATGCCAAAATCATATTTCTAAACAGACCAGTTAGCACACAAGTGATGTGGTCAGCATCACACCCGTCGAGTTTACCTCACAGGACTTTATCTGATACCCATTCTAAGTCGAAGTCAAGTAAATCTACTCAACCCAGTTCTGATTTGAATCCAATATCTTCAAGACGTTAAGATTTAGTTAAATATATGGACACTCAACAATAATTGTTTCTAAAGCAAGTAAACGCCACTTTCCCTCCCCTTTAGGCATATTGGGCGTACTGGTTTTGACCTATATTCTTTAGACCATCGGCACTCTGCGTGAGGGATGGTCTACATCACTCATGCTGCCTTTACTTCCCAGTTAAGGTTGGGTCAACCAAGCAGCACGTTGATTTTTTTTTTAAATAAAAAAAATGTCCAGCTCTTTCAGGACCTGCCCGCCACCCCCCCCCCTCCCCCACCCACACCCACCCCTTTTACGACCTTTCGCTCTGTAGACGAGCGTCTAGCCGCCAAACCGCGGCGACTCCCAAAATAGTAAGTAAGGAAAAAAAAATACTCTTTCACGCATTTCGGGCGTATTGGGTGTATACGGCTGGACCTATATTTTATAGGCAAAATAGCACTTAGATGGTGATGTGGTCAGTATCACGCCGGTCACCTCTACTTCCCAGGAATGCACCTGGTGCCCACTAAAGGCTGGGTTGAACTAGGAGCAAAGGTCATTTTGAAAAAGGCCTGGACCCCGTCAGCAACCGAACCCACGATCATTTTTAAAGTTCGTTTGAGTGTATGTTTATATATTTTGTGTAGTATTTACCTGTCAATACACAGCCACATACAATAAATTGTACAATCTGTTCTTCTCTTAATTATGAAATGACACCATGAAAACTTTGTTTTAAATAAAATTCAAGTTTGTGTTGAAGTTAATATTTAATTTACGGATCTGACGGTCGTGGATTCGAATCAGAACAGGGCCGGATGTTTTTTTTTTTTTTATTTCCCCTAAATGACCCTGGTTTCTAGGTCGACTCATCCTTGACAGGGTAACTGGTTAACTCCTTTGAACTAAAGGCGTGATGCTGATTAAATTACCCACTGGGTGTTGACTCAACTGAAAAAAGTACAGGTCTAGCCTCATTACTTTTAGAATTATTACTACATTAACGATCCTATTTTTACTCCAACACATTCAACATGCGCTATAACGTGTTTTCCTATTGTGTGAGTATAACGATATAATCAGGAACTTGTATGTGATTCTTCGAGTATAAACCTATGCTCCTGAACGTGTGATTCCACGAGTGTGAACTTATGGTCTAGAATGTGTATGTGATCCCTTGACTATGAACATGTGATCTAGAACTTGTATGTGATTTCTCGAATTTGAACATATGATCTAGAACCTGTTTGTGGTTCCTCGAGAGTGAACATATGATCTATAACTTGAATGTGGTTTGACAAATAGGACATATGATTAAGAGTATGTAGTAATCTCTTAAGTATGAACATATGATCTAGAACTTACATGTGATCCCTCTAGTATGAACATATTATCTAGAACTTACATGGGATCCCTCTAGCATGAACATATGATCTAGAACTTACATGTGATCTCTCAAGCATAAACATATGATCTAGAACTTACATGTTTTCCCTTTAGTATAAACGTATGATCATGAATTTAAATGTGATCCCTCTAGTATAAACATATGATCTAGAACTTATTTGTTATTCCTCTAACATAAACAAATGATCTAGAACTTGCATGTGATCCCTCTAGTACGAACAAATGATTGAGAACTTATATGTGATTCTACAGGAAGGAAGTCCCAACCAAGATCTCATACACTTCCACTTCACATCCTGGCCAGACAAGGATATCCCTAACACCCCGTGGGGTCTGGTGGACTTCGAGCAAAGGGTCGCTTCATATCCGACCAGGAGACCCATTGTGGTCCACTGCAGGTGGGTAACACGATTATATTGTTAAATGTATTTCGTGTTGGATATTTCCCTTCCAGGATTTACTTTTGTTGACTTTTCTTCTTCTTTTTAATCGTTTCTGTTTTTAATCTATTTTATAGTTCTTTCTTCCCCGTGTAGGTTCCGGGGCACCATTGAGGAGAAAACAAGAACAGATCCACTGACTCCCCAAAAAGCATGTCGTAAGAGTCAGCTAACTAGGGGGTTTCTTTCGAAGTCGGCGCGCATCTGCCTGAGAGGCAAAGAACCAACAGACTGCATACAACTAAGTCATATCTGTAAAATGTATGTGCACGCAACACTCAGAGTTCACAAACGTCGAAGTTTCAGAGGTGGATGAACAACCAGAACTTTTCGCTGGAGTTTACAGCCATTAAACGTAAAGTCTTTCAGTCACAGTCAGGCTTTGTATGTGTTCCAGTAAACATTTTTTTTAAGTGGGTCATTGGTATTCTTCATGTAGTCTAGGCATAGGGTCTTTAATGCATTGATATTCTCATGTATGCCACAGTAAACGTGTATATTACTTGTATTCAGTCGGAACAGTCGAAACCAGGATAAAAAAGGTACTTATCAGACAACTGCTGTTTGCAGATGATGCAGCAGTAACCACCCACTTGGTGAACTAGCTGCAATGTTTATTGTCTCCATTCGATGTTGCATGCTGTGAATTAAGAGTAACGATCAGCAAAACAACAACTTCAGTTTATCAGGCTTGTGTTCTCAGTACGCTACTTTGTGGCAGTGAAACTTAGTGAACTTATTTGCACCAGGAGAGACGGCTACATAACTTTCACATGCGATTCCTTATAAGAAATTTTGGTAATAAGTGGTTGGACAAGATCACAAACATTGAGTCATTGGAAAGAGCAGGAACTAGAACAGCCTTCTTAATGCTCAATCTACGAAGGCTCAGGTAGCTGGGTCACATCTGGAGAATGGAGGATAAAAGTGTCCTTAAGGACATCCTTTATGGTAAACGACAGACGAGTAGATGATTTCAAGGCCGACCTCTACTACAATATGGAAACATGTGCAAGCGGGATATGAATGACAAATGACACAGATATTGAGGTGGACTTGTGGGAACAAAATGCCATGGACTGTGTTGTGTGGAGGGGGCACATCAGAAAGAAAATTATAATGAAGGAAGAAATGATTACATAAAGGATGAGAACTGAGAGTCCGAGAAGAAACAGACTCAACACAAATGTTTACAACACTTGTCCTGAAATCCCATGCAATAATTGTTGAAGAATTTTCTAAACGCAGGTGTTCCGACTTGATTGACAACTTACCGTCTTTCAATACGATAGTGTTATACTGCTCAATGAGGAGGCATAGGGCTCACCGCCAATGGCGATGGCGAGTGTGACTAGCAAGACGCGCCCACACTTAGGTAAGTCTTCCACAATTATTGCATGAGATTTCGGAATTATTGTCCGAATTTGTTTTTACCAAGTTGTGTATGTTTCCCTTCTTTGAAAGTAATAAAGATTTTATAGCATGCATTATTCTACACACCCCATCGGATGTAAGTATCCATGTTTGACACTGATAGTAATTTGTGCTGCTCGTAAACATCATCACACATGAACTAACATGTCTTACCTTCTGTCAGCGCTGGTGTTGGCCGCACTGGAACGTTCATAGCGTTGAGAAATGTCATGAGAGAAGCCGTGGAGACAGGTCACGTGGACTTTTTCACCACAGTTCAGAAACTGAGACAGAGTAGGATCAACATGATCCAAACCGCTGTAAGCATGCTGTACTTGTAACACACGTGACAGGTGTTGGCACTTATTATAATAACAATAATGATCTTCTTCTTCTTCAGCATTCCGAACCCTTGAGATTTATTGCTGCAGATATCCCCCGCCTACATTCATCTCTATGGTTGGCCTTCTCTTTCCAGTTGGTGACACCAAGGGTTTGTAGGTCTGTCTGGATATTATCTCTCCATCGTCTTCTTGGTCTGCCTCGTGGTCTACGACCATTCATCTTCCTTGTGTATACAGTTTTTACCTCTCTGTCATGTGACATTCTTTCAGTAAGTCCCAACCATTTTAGTCAATTAGCTCTCATGATGCCAGTGATCAGTGATGATTTAAACAGATTATGAATTTTGTTGTTGCTTCTCACTCTCCATTCACCGCTGTTTGCTTAACAATAATGATAATAATAATAATGAAAATAATGAAAATTCTAATAATAATAATAATATTTATAATTAAATATAACAATCGGTGATATTTGTTCAGGCTAGGCACAGGTACGCAGTACTGGCTCCTTTTCTTTTGGCATCCTTGTTTCACTATTGGTCAATTTTTCATAAACGGTTTACCAGTAAATGGCGCCTGTGTCTTAAGCGTTGCGAACGAGCTTCGGGATGCTGGGATGCCGGGTTCGATCCCAGCTTCGGACGGTTTGTCTTGCGCTGGTATCGACAGTGGTACCGAGAGCTGACTTCAGTAGTCAGAGGCAAACTACCTAACGTAAAATTTGCCAAAAAAAGCAACAACAGCCCACCCCACCCCCCAAAAAATATGCTTCTGTTGGTTTTGTAACGTCCTGTAAAGGATACTTAACTAAATTAATTGTGTGTGTGTGTGTGTGATGTGGGTGTGTGGCTGGTATTCTGGTAAATACTGGCGCTCTTTCCATAACACTTTATATTTATAGTGAGTTCCGGAATTGCATGTTCATATCACCTAAATCATGTAGCAGGTCCTTTGCAGAACGTCGCTCTCATCACAATCTGCCTGAAAGAAACTTGGTCTCTCGCCAGCTGTCCCGCCTCATGTACTTTCATACTCAAGGCGTCAGTTATATTCTCTGCTTATCTTTGTGTTGGTCGGCCCCTGCCCCTCCTTCCCGGTACTATGCCTTCAGCTATTAATCGTCCACTCCGTCGTGGCGCTTTGATGTGACCAAAATATGTTAGCTTCCGAGACAGGATGCTGTTTATTAGCCAATCTTCCTTGATGTTCAGATCTTTCAAGATGTCAGTAATTCTCCTCTTTTTTGTCCAAAATATTCTGAGAATCTTTTTTAAAGCAATAGCATGTTCTAAAGAGCAAAAATCCTTGATGGTAAGGATGATAATGATAATAACAACGCAGAACTATGTATAACGTATACATAATTTGAGCCATTCTTATGGTCCACGCACAAACTTATGAAGAATGCAAAATGGCACACACAATTTTTTTGTTGTTGAAATATTTTAACGACAGACACATCGCAATAAATGTAGTAACAAGGGTTTTCGTTCAACCTCTTCCTCAAGGATCAGTACATCTTTTTACACAAGGCAGCCTTGGTGGCCATACTGTGCATTGGGACAACGATCACATCCACGGATATAGAGGCAAGGATCGCGATTCTGGACAATAAGTTACAGTCTGGTAAGACTAAGATGGAGACAGAATTCCAGGTGGGTTGCAGTGTGATCAATATTGTTTCTGCTTTCAGGAATTTGTTCTTTCTGTTCGTATATAGGTCTCTTTGTATGTGCTTGTTTACCGTCTGTTATTTACCAACATCTCTCTCTCCCTCCCTCCTTCTCATTCTTTATCGCTCTCATTATCTCTTTCATTATCTCTCTCATTATATCTCTCATTTTGTCTCTCTTTATCTATCTCTTTCTCTCTTTTTTTCTCAAAATATCTCTCTCTGTTTTTCTGTGTCTCTATGTATATCTCTTTCTGGCTCTCTCTCTCTCTCCATCTCAAGGCTTTAATGCTGTTGATAATGTTAATAATTATCTAATAAATAACGTGTAAATGGAATAATGTATAGGAGTGTGGTAAGAAAGAACTTAAGACGGACCTGCCAGTCCAAATCTTAAATTTTGAAAATGAGGTTTGCGCCCCTCCCCCCTCCCCGCCTTCCCCTTTTAATGTTTTGTCTATCAGCTTTTTTTATATATATTTTCGGTCTTTTCTAACTTGTTTCTCCATCTTGAGTTTATCTGTTGGTCCTCATAAACTTAATGAGGTAATGATTTGCTTTGGTAGATATTTTATTCAGTGTTATGGCTATGTTTTCTCTGTTTTGATGTGTTTATTTTCTACACATTATATTTTATTTTCACTTCTCAAGGAAATGTAATAATGCTGCGTGCCTCCCCCCCCCCCCCCCGGGTCTCTCCTTACCCCTCCCGCTCTCACACTAGAGAAACAGAGATACTGAGAGAGGCAGGGAGAGAGAGACTTAGCTCATGAACCAATGTAAGATCGCAAGAAATTGTCTACCCCTTGGTATCAAACACCAGCTGTTCCTAAATAGATCTTACTGTCCACAAACTATTACCCCAATTTCTTCCACAGGCAGTCTGCTCCGCTTGTGCTGACAAGGAAGAAGAGAGATTGTCTGATGACAACCTTTACAATGTCTATGAGAACAGCCAAACTGTGGCCAACAAACTTAAGAACAGAGTTCAGACTATTCTGCCAAGTTAGTTCCCATGGTTGCATAAACCTGCATTTGTAGTCACTAAGAGAAAGCCGTGTTTTTCTGTTCGGATGTTTGGAAGAGGCGTTGTTTGGTTCTCTGTAATGAAAGCCGTGATTGCGTAGTTGTTAGGCCGTGGGTACTATTATATAACTTCACGTCCTTTTTAGGATGACATGTTTCGTTATTTTAAGCCCTACTGTGGCTCTTGCCAGGGGCCGAATTATATAGCCAGGCCATAAATATGGCCTAAAGGCTGAACGCGGTTTCTGGGACCTCTCCACAGTGATCCTCACCCACGTGGTGGCACATTGTGTTATCGGGTGTTTATCGCTTTTGTGATGTCCTGGTGGGGTAGAAAGTCAGTCAGTTGTTAGGCCTGGGTTTCAAAATAATGGCGTTTTGTCTGGTTTCGATTTTTGTCGCTTCTTTTCACTTGGATCACCTTTCTAAGATACCTCATTTCTGATGCCTGATGCTGGCTTCTGTGAGCTATTGTCATTGCCGATGATTAGCAGCCATAGGTAAGGAATGAAACTTAAGAAGAGGGGTATATAGTCAGGTTTGTCCTCTGGTCGCTTTTGGCCAAAATTTACGTAGGATTCTTCTTAGTAATGTATTTGGATTATTTTATAAACGTCAAATTTATCTGTGTTGATAAATTGTATTTAGAATAATACAAGCAATGACAGTATTTCATTTGAAGAAGAACATTTTGTGAAAATATTCACTGTCTAGGTGACTCAGGAGAGGTGTTGGGGGTTGGGAAACAAAGATATGTATTACCTACTGCTCTAATAGTTAGTGAATCATGGACTAGAGTGCACCCTCAGAAAGGAAAATTTGAGTGTAACAGATGCAGGGACAGGTCAAGAGTGAATATTGTAGAGTCTCATTTATGTAAAAACTTACTGTCAGTATGTGAAACTGAATCCACTGGTCGTACCTAATGGTCAACGCTATTAGCATTGATTAAAACATGAAGAAGATTCTTGTCCCAAGTGTCTTGTTATGTTTGTATGTTTCAGTCCATTATTCAATAATTTCGCCTCTTCTTATCTTGATCATATTCGTTTGAACAATTAAATCCTCTAACGCGCTCCTATGTGCTGTCCTAGAATCATTTTCAGCTGCACAATTATGGAACACTAGCGTGTTTGATCCATTTTGAAAACACAAAGAAAACACTATCTTGTTTATAAAGCAAAATTCAGTCTATTAAAATGCACACAAAAAAGAAGCTGACAAATGCCGTATTCTTGTTCTATCAATGTGAGACATAGATATTCAATGAAACATGTAAATGCAAAATTACAGACTATGACGAGAGGATGTACAAGAATAGCAGCGGGAGAAACAAGGCGAGACCAGTGGAGTCACCAGTGGTACGATAGGCCCTGTACCGCTAAACGATTCCATTGGGCATCACAGAAATAATTAGTTTCGTCAAGTGGTCAGAATGGAACCAAATCAGCCAGCAGCTAGAGCCTGCTACACGAGAGCCACCAGCTACAAGGCAGGAGGCCGCTCAAGAAAGAGACGGGTGGATGGAGTAAAAGAGACACGACCACTACAGAAAAGCAATTTAGCATTAACAAAGCTTGACAACTAGTCCAGAAACCACCAGCTACAAGTCAGTAGGACTACCACTACAGAAAAGGGATTTAGCATTAACAAAGCTATGCAACTAGTCCAGAAAACAATGGCAAACTACTGGACGTAAATTTGCCTAGAAAAACCACAACAGCCACACACACACACACACACACACACACACACACACACACACACACACACACACAAATTCTAGGTTTGGTTCTGCAACGTTCTGTAAAGGAAAAGCCACTAACATGTAACTAGAAAAACTATATCTAACTATTCTCTAGGACGCTTTACGTCATATGTGATAGGACAAAAGAAGAAGACCATAAACGTGTTTACTTGTGTTTTCTTTACAGAGGAGATGTACAGAGCAAAACTGCGATGCGAGAACACTGAGGTGACAGATTACATAAATGCTGTACTAGTCCCGGTAATTACGTGTGTTCTCTTGTCTCGTCTCATTATATTACTACTGTAATATGCTCTATCTAAAATGTCGCCACATATGTGTCTTTATATTAGTGGTAGTTTAATTGGTATTATTATTACTTTAACAAATTGTGGTTTGTTTATAACATGCTTAAACTTTTCTTTTCTTTTCTTAAACAGCTTAAAGTAAATAAAATTACTTTTCTTCTAAATGATCAACAAATTCGAAAGAAAAAATGAGAATAGCCGAGGAAATATTATTGAATCATTAAAAATTAAAAAACGAGAACTGTAAAATCTCGTTTTGAGCTCTGTCAGTTAACACTGTCTGTCATCACCTCTCCCCCCCCCCCCCCCCCCCAAATCCACCTACTACTCATCTCTCCCTCTCCGAAGGAATTGAATTCATCACCTGATATCTTTTTTCAAATTGACCTTAGCATCCGTGTACACCGAGACTAAAATAAGTAGCATGAATTATAATGGCGCTACGTTGTTCGTACTTTGTGCGACACTCTTACATCAAATTACTTGCGTATTCGAATGCAACTATGTGTTAAAATTTCAAAGCAATCGGTGAAGAACTGTCGGCATACAGCTACGTGCAGATTTCTGAGGTCAACAGTCAAAGTTCGCTTACCAGCGAAAGTAAAAACCTGCGCTGGGAATGCGGCAACGAAACAAAAACCGATGTGAGCGTCGCTGTAGCTATGTTGTTTGTGCTTTGTGTGATACATCTATACAAAAACACGCAAGTGTTTGAATGCAGGCTCTACCGCCTTATTTACTTAAATACTCAAGGAGTTACTTATATCCTGTGCCCATCTTCGTGTTGGTCGGCCCCTATCTTCTTCTTCCCATGACTTCTGCTTTTTTTTTCCAATCCGTCGTGTTTATTGTTTTAAATTACTGACTGTATTTGAAATGACCAAGACATTGATTTAATAAAACCAAAAAATCGGTATTAGAAATATCACAGCTGACTACTATACTGTTATTTAAAAGAAAAATTGACGCTTTTGTTTGTTTGTGGTTGGTGTGGGGGTGGGGGGGGGGAGTTGTAATGGCTCAGGCTCACTCTTATTATAGGCAGCTTCTGAACCTCTTGGTGGTGAACTGATGTATGACAAGCTGGATGTTGTGAGGGCCCTTGGGAGCGAGTAAACTGTGCCTAGGAAAAGATAGATCATTACGGTCTGAGGAGAATAGCACTGCGAGGAGTTACAAGAGGATCTGGCCGACGCTCGACACTTAGGGGAAAGGCGAGACGGATATACAATCAGGCAGTTACTAGTACCATCAGAATTTTAACTCTTCGCTTGCTCCTGAAGAAGGGAATGAAGCGCTTATGGGGGGTGTCCCGAGTGCTGTGATGTTGAATCTTAATTCAACATTCAACATCGACAGCTTCAAGGATGGGGATGGAGGCGAAGGCAGTCACTGCAGCTCTGAAATGTGTAGTAGAAAATAGAGTAACCACAGAAATTATAGTGACTGATTCTCAGTCTGTACTGCGAAAAGTTCAAAAGTGACAAATATGGCATGAATATCAAGCATCGGCACGTTAGCATTACAGGGACTCACAAGAATATACTGTCCATGATATTTAGGAACGCAAGGGGATGAAAGAGCGTGTTTTCTGGCTGCACAATCGATAGCTACAGAAACACTTCTGATGGATAAAAGAGATACATACTCTGAAGACCATTTTTGAGCATATGCTGATAGAAGAAACGAGGTTTGATAAAGAAACATGTGTAAGAATGTGTGAACGAGGAACTAGGTGTGAATCTGACAAGGAGCGAAGTATGAGAGGAAGAGGTCAGCGAGTTTAAATCAGTGTGCTACGGAAACAGTTAGCGTCTACACCTTTAGACATCTGCTTTGGGAGACGAAGTACCTTTGTGTATGCCCGGTGTGCTATAGTGTCGATTCCTAAATCAGTAATCAGCTAACTTTCAAGTAACACTTTGATCCAAAAAAAGAGGATCTCTGCTTGGCCAAACTTCTGACATTAACAAGGATACAGATGAACAAATAACAGATTCGTTATTCTCATTTTCCTGCCGATTTTAAAATTAGAAATATGGCTTGTGCGTTTGTCTATGTAGGTGTATGTTTAGACGACGGATCAACATGATGGCACAATGGATAATCCATAAGTGCTCCGTTCTACTTTTGACTCAAGCCTAAGTCCAAAGAATTTCAGCGCAATGCACGAACTCTATAGCTCCATCGAGGATCCTGAAATAGTTTGGGTAGATTTTTAAATTTAAATCTTGCCTGGGTAAGGCATTCAGGCTACTCTTCTTGATTTCCAGCTGCCAAGAGATTTTTTTACGTGCTCAACAATACACACGTGCGAACGATCTTACTATCCATACATATGTTGGTTTCTATTTGAAATCAGACCACCCACGGATTTTTGGCTTGCAGGACATTGCATCTTCTAAGTTTATTGAAGTTCTATTAGGCAAACTGTCAGTACAGAGAGCACAATATCAAGGACTGATGGTGAAGAGATGTCATCTTTCTCTTGCTCGTGAATAACAGAGTCCACTTCACAAAATGAACCAGGTCTGCAAGTGGTTCGAACATCTAAGGTTTTCAACCTTTCCTTTCAACTCAGACTATGGACACAGCTGGTCACAAACCATTCTGTGTTACGTTTAGATATTTTTGTCTTGTTGAGTTCTGTCCTTTGTCTCCAGTGTTGCAGGGATCCTTAGCAAGCCACACAACCTCCAATCCTAGCTATCGCCTTTATATTTCTTGTATTCTCCCCTAAATTACATTGCACGCCTGTCAGTAAGACTGTCTTAACGTAATTCTCCTTTTTAGGTCTGTTTAGCCGAGTGGGTTCCAGAGAGAGGCCATACTAGTTACATTAAAATTTCCTGTTGTATTTATTTTTGCTTTAACTTGTTTATTGAATTTATTGTTACAATAAATTTATTTATTGTCTTTATTGTTATTTTAACTTTTGTTGATGGGATTTATAGTTTCATTGAAATGTTACATGTATTTCTCGTTAAATAAATATTCCCCATTCTCGTTATAGTTACAGTAACATTTCCCATTGGAATTATAGTTACATTAATATTTACCAATAGATTTACTGTTACGTTACTATTTCACATTGGATTTATAGTTACGTCAACATTTCCCACTGGATTTATAATTCTTCTTCTTCTTTTCTACCTTGTACTTCATCGAGGTGTTGGGGGGAGATGTAACTTTCGTTGATGAGCTCTGTCAAGATGTGACGTGACGGGTGGATTAATTGTTTAACTGTTGAGTAGGGATGTTCCTCTCAACACATTCCCTCCACCAGATTAACCGAACTAAAATCTGAGCTATGTTGCTCTCAGACAAAGTCCTGGATGTCCAAGAAAACAACCATATTGGCTCGTTAAGTACATTAACATTAGCTGAACTTGGTACCCACAAGAGAAGGCAAGGAATTTTAGATGTCTATAGCATTATACTTAATGAATTATTAGACAGGGCAAATGATTCCTCCGTCATCTACCTTCTCCCGGTGTTATTATGAATAATTAAAGAATTATTATAATATTAATTGAGCCTCCACCAAATGGTATTTCTATCTATCAGTTTAGAAAAACAGGTAAGATTGAATACACTTGGAATTTAACAAACGATGTAGTATAAAACTTGACATACAGCTTTATTTTCTAACAATCAGTTAATTGACATACCCAGTTTGTTGTGTTTACACAAACAGTGACTAGCTAAAGTTATGATAGTAATGGGTTGTTTCAGCGCGAGAACAGCACCTGGGATTAGAGTGGTGTGATGAAGGTGATAAAGTATGAACAATTTATAAAAATAACTTTCATAGAACCTCTGACAGCCGTGAGCACTGTCAAGCTCTTCCTCCTCTTCCAGCTTCTTTCCTGCTTGTTTCTCCTCCTCGCCCCCACCTCGTTCCCAGCTGGCCGAGTCTAACACAATGTAGTCTACTTCATGGACTGATCGTCACATGGGCGCTGTAATCATGGAAACAAAACACATACGTGTAGTATCTTGACTTACACTAAGAATACATGTATCAATTAATATAACATAGAATAATAAAATATATCCCATCACTCCTCCTCATATTCCACATCCTCTCCAGTCTAGTCTGAAGGTCTTTTGTCTTACATGGGCGTCACATATCCTGCCTTCCTCTCTCATGCTATGTCATGATAGTTGACTTTCTAAGTCTGTTGTCTGTCATCACTCAGACTTCCAACTGGCTGACATTGATTTGACATAAACATGTGGCGCAGGTTCTGTGCTGAACACGTAAACAATTTATATGTGCACGCTGTCCTGAATATTATCTTTCAGTGACCGTGAATACTGTACACCCATCATTCTTCCCCTGGGGTTATAAATCCCCTGTTTAGGTGAACACATTAAGTGAGCACATGGTGGGCACACAGAACGTAGCAGCATCCCTGCACATATGGGCATGATTTCCCACAGTCCAAACTCACATTTTGGCTGATCATGGAAACAATATAATTACATTTCATTATAGCAAATGTCATTGTTCACATCTTATTTTATACACATGAAAACATACACTGAAAAACATGTGACACAAACATACAAGAAATAGGAATAGTTTAGCAGTTCCCTAACTTGAGATACTGAATACTCACAAAGAACTATTTCAAGCAGAATGTGCAGACAAATTAGGAAAAGGTAGTATAGACTAAGCTTAACTCCCTAACCTAAGTATACAAGATTAATATTAATATTCACCTGGAACTTTCCAGCACATGCCAAACACGACTCAACCAGTCAGAAAATACTTTTCCACGGTAGGTCTGAGTCTGTGGCCTGCTGGCGGCACTATGAGGTAAATCTACAATGCTGGCAGTATAAGTATCAATCTATTGTCCAAATTAAACTCCTCCCTTTACTGGGTTTTACCCAACCCTCAAGATGATGACTTAAGCCCCGCCTCTGAGGTAACTATCAGATTAACTTGGCTAACCAGTGACCTGTCACTCACAGTGAACGGCCTACAGTACGACCTTGACCAAGATAAAACATTCCTAATTGCCAAACACCTGTTCTCCCCAGAATTACACTGACGTGTTAAACTTTAAACTTCTCGTCGCCTCAATGTCTAGAGGCCGCTCAACTCGTGTTAGGTAATATTTATGACCTACGGTCCAGCTCAGGTGTGATGCTAAGTTCCCCGTTCGCTGGCCTCTACAGTGTGGTCAGGAGATAACATTCTGACACTGGCATGAGAATCCAACCTCACATCCCTAGTCTGAACCAGCGGGCTGTATTACGTAGTGTAAGGTAATTTTAAACAAAGCGCAGTGGCTTTGTCTGGGAGAAGGACTGGTAACATTTAAATCAATACGGTTTAAAGTAACATTTGGTTTAAGGGCATAGTAAATATAATCCTCTCTCTTTAGAACCAGAAGAACTTATTACAAGTACTAACTTCTGGAACCACTGAGATCGTATCGTGACACAAGAGCACTATTAAGATTGATGTCCATTGGATTTTTAATTACATTATTTCCCAATGGATTTAAAGTAAAATTATTATTTTCGATTCGATTCAGATTACAGTCCCAAAAACATTTCCCATTTGATTAATAGTTATATTAAAATTTCCTTCAAGATTTACCTAGTTCTGTCCATGATGTATTGATTCTGCCGAAAGGTAGAAATCTATTTTGTCCGTGAACTGTGCACTGGTGATTCTGTCAAACAGTTCGAGGAGTTTGTGTCTACAAACAGAATCAAAAAGCTGAAACAATTCAGCAGTACTGAATAGCATGTTTTTTTTTTTTAACTTTCAGACCATAGCTGAGTACCTCCCTTTAAACGAGAAGGAGAACATTGATATATCCATGTTTAAGATCTGCACCAAATCTGTGCAAGCTGCCATGTTTTGGAGGGAACAGGAAGTGTCTGTTACCATAGATACAGAGATGATGAAAAAGTTTTCTATTGTTACGACTGTAAGTTAACCTGACATGTGATGTTGTATGTTTAGTGGTAGCGTAGTTTGCTATGTGATGTTGTATGTTTGTGTGGTAGAGTAGTCTGCTTTGTGATTTTGTATATGTGTGTGGTAGTGTAGTTTGCTATGTGATGCATGTGTGTGTGTGGTGGTGTAGTTTGCTATGTGATGTTGTAGATTTAGTGGTAGTGTAGTTTGCTATGTGATGTTGTATGTTTGTGTGGTAGTGTAGTTTGCTATATGATGTTGTATGTTTGTGTGGTGGTGTAGTTTGCAATTTAATGTATGTTTGTGTGGTGGTGTAGTTTGCTATGTGATGTTGTATGTTTTTGTGGTAGTGTAGTTTGCTACTTGATGTTGTATGTTTCTGTGGTAGTGTAGTTTGCTATGTGATGTTGTATATTTGTGTTGTAGTAGTCTCCTATGTGACTTTTTATGTCTGAAATGTAGTGTAGTCGAATACGTGTGTTAATATGTGCCTGTTGTATTAATGTTTTTTTGTTGTTGTTGTACGGATGTTACAGTGTTGTATCGTCGTACTGATACAATAAACAAATGCCATATGATATGTAAACGCACTAACTAATACTGAAGAAATACATGTTTTAGGACAGAGACAGAGAGAGAGAGAGAGAGAGAGAGAGAGAGAGAGAGAGAGAGAGAGAGAGAGAAAGCGCGCGCGGGAGAACGAGAGAGAATGGAGGGAGAGGGATAAGGAGGAAAGGAGAGAGAATGCTAGAAGACTGCCTTCATATCATAATCGGATATCACCACACACACACATTCTCTTACACGCACGCGCGCGCGCACACACATACGCACAAACATATATCTCAGTGGAGTGCACCTACTTCTTATCACCGGTGAGAATTATTAAATACTTTTAGTAGATTTTTTAACTTTATATTTTGCCTAGGTGGCGCCGTTACACTACTCTTTTCAATTTCTAAGGGTCAAGAGATTTTTTTGGGTGTGCGCAACAATACACACGGGCGTCCGATCAGCAGGACACATTACTAGAAGTCCACATAAAATAAACTCGCAACCTTCACCGGAGCCGTGAACCTGGGGCCTTTAGCACTTGAAGCAGACGAAATGCCTCGAGACCACACAACCACCCCTCCCCCATTCCTCCTCCCCGGCAATTATCATTATATAGGATTACAATAAGGATGAGATCGCACAGTGGCTACTATATTTGCCTATCAGTCTATCAGATAGCTTTTTCAATTCCTATCGACTCAGTAAATTCACAGAATTGAAAGAAAAAAAATTGACTTTAATGTTTTATATGTAAATGTAAATTATACTTTTCATTTAGGTCCAAACAGACTTTTTCTAGATTTATTTTTTAATCACTTTTAGTTAGGTAACAAAACACATTTTTTAGTACCGACGTGAATTACACTAAATCTAACCCGATAAGTTATACCTCAACAATTTGCGACTACATTAGGAAACATTCTAAAACATTCATTTTATAGCGTGTAGCGACACGCTGGCGCAACAATTGTAGTCTTTTTCAGAAATTACGCAAAACACAAGAAACACGTGAATGATCGATTGGTTACTTTTGAACGTTGTGCTCTATAACTTTTAAAAGCCAGTCCAGCAAGAATCAGTGTCTAATTATATAGTTAAAATACGCAACATTGAAGTATAATTGTTTTAGAGAGCAAAAAAAATATGACACAACGTTAAGAATTTAATAAATATTACTACATATTTTCATCCATTTATTTTCCACTTCTTCTTCTTTAGCATTCCGACCCCTTGAGGCTCATTGCTGCAGATATCACCAGCCTCCAATTATCTCGCTGGTTTGTCTTTTTTTTTTTCCATTTGGTAACACCAAGTGTTTGCTTGTTTTTCTGGACATTATCACTCCATGGTCTGCCTCGTGGTCTACGACCATTAATCTCCCGTGTGTATACTGTTTTTCACTTCTCTGTCATCTGACATTTTTTCAATATGCCCCAACCATTTTAGTCTATTAGCTCTCACGATGCCAGTGATCAGCGGGGATTTAAACACTTCAGCTGAGAGAGAAAGAGAGATTTTTTTTTTTACATGTGCGCGAAGTTGTATGCGCACTGTAGCAGAAAATGTATTAGAAAACGCAGGCTGCCAATATGTTACTGACTTTATCACTCATTGAATGCTTTTTGGACTGCAAAAATAGGTCGCTGGAAAGATAAGAGACGGGGTTTTTACTCTTTATAGATATCGATGATGGCGGTGATGATGATATCTAAAGTTCATGTGTGCCTTTGTAATTGCCCTACAGGAACATCACCTGACCCATTTAACGTGCACCACCACTGACCTGGACACAGAGACTCTATTGACCATCACGCAACACATCCGGTCACTGCAGCCGGCCGGCAGCGGCAGGGTTTTGTACATGTGCAGGTGATTATCTTGACTCTATCTAGGTTAACGTCTGGCTGAATGACTGCCTCATCAACCAGCATGTCCTCTACACAATGTTCCTCTCGCCTCTCGTCACAGCACGCCTAAAAAATCTCGCTTTTTCTAGCCGATTCTCCAGCCCTGTTTGCTTCATAACCGATGCTGCTTAATCCTCGAAGATGGACATAAAACAGTTTCTGTTCAACTGTTTCTTTTGAAACAACGGTTCAACATCATGACACATGGGTGGTAACCCATAAGTGCTCCGTTCTACTTCTAACTCATCCTCTCTGGTGTTACGGAGTTCGTTCACTCCGCTGAGACACCTCGGACTCACGCTTGAGTTAAAACAAGTAGAACGGAACACTTATGGGTTCGAACCTTGTGTCATGATGTTGATCTGTTGTTTAAAGAGAAACATTTAAACAAAAGCTGTCATGTATCCACTTTCGAGGCGGTCGGTCTCTGTATTTTTTCGGAAACTGTAACGTCCACGGCCGTTCTTTCTACTCCATCTTGACGTTTAACATGGTAAAAATACTTAAGCTTTTAGGACATAGTACTGTTTCTACGCCCATATTCCTGGATGTTCATTCAAATTATGTAAGATGTCAGTATTCTTCATCGTCTCGGTCTACGCATTTTAAGAAATTTTCTGTAACTTCTCAGTTCGAAAGCTCAGTTAAAAATGGCTCTTCGTCTACCTTGTTATATGCTTGCTTGTCTGTTTGCTGTCATGTCTTTTTGACTATTTGTCTATTTCTCTGCTTGTCAGTATTTATTGTGAAACAATTCACAACCCTTTGGCTGTATCACTTTATAATCTAACCGAATACTGATGTTGTGCTGTTGGTTGTATGCTTTTGAGCTGTCCCCTTTGGCAGACAAAAAGAATTGCTGACTGACTGACTGACTTTCTACCCCACCAGGACATCACACAAGCGATAAACACCCGATGACACAAAGTGCGACCATGCGGATGAGGATCGCTGTGGAGAGGTCCTAGAAACCGCGTTCAGACAATTGGCCATATTTATGGCTTGCCTATATTGCGGCCCCTGGCAAAAGCCAGGGTGGGGCTTCAAATAACAAAAAATTTCGTCCTAAAAAGGACGAAACTGGATTTATAAGGAACTGCTGCCGTTATACTATTGGTTGTATGCCTTTGAGCTGTCAATCTTTGCAGATTACAATAACTGCATAGCTTATATGTAATATTGGCTACAAAAAGTATATGTGTATGCACCATGTGTATGTTCAAAGAGTATTTGTATGCATCATTGTGTGTGAGTACGCATCATTGTACCAATTATTACTAGGCGGGTGATGTGGTCAGTATCACGCCGGTCGACAGTCATTATTGTGTCGACCTGGGAGCCAAGGTTTTTTTGTTTTCAGTATGTATTATTCTAGCGGATGTGTATGCTCAAAGATGGTGTGTGTATGCTCAAACTACATGTTCAAAGTGTATGTGTATGCAACATTGTAAGAGTAATTTGAAAAAAAAAAATAATAAACAAATAGAACAGTGAACAGGTTACAAGATGAAATTAACTCTTCCACAAACCAGGAATGGAGCAGACTACAGTGGCCTGGTCTGTGTTCTGTCCCTTCTGCTGGACCGGATGGACAATGACCATCACTTGACCGTTCCTCTGGTTGTTGGAGCCATCAAGGCAATCAGACCCCAGGTCATTCCCACCCTGGTAAGTTCAACAAGCTACGACTAACAACTTGTTAGTAAGAACCAATCTTGTTATGTCCATACTTTGTGACCGTGGTTGTCATGTCTATCCACAACCTGTCTCTTTGATGACATGATTTCAGACTGTTCTGCGCTTTCTTTCTCGACCTCCATATGCAAACTTTTCCATCGTCCCGATGAACTCCAGTTTTCTCCTTCTTATTGCATGATCAAAGAATGTATATTTGAACAAATAAGACACAAACAATAGACTCTACAATTTATTGCCTGGCATATTTCGATGTATCTCGTCAGATGAATACTACAGTAGCAAGTGACTGTGCAGTCTATTGTTTGTGTCTTCTTTGTTCAAATTCACATCAGGGAAACATTGCTTTGAATGTATATGTGCCTCCTTCTAATGTGTGCAATCATTTCTCTGTGTGTGCTTTCAAGATATCGTTATAACTCATGTTAACTGTTTAGGCTGTTGCCATCATTGGTTTACAAAACAATATCTAAACGGTTTCTATATAATTTGTTCACTAATAGGCTAGTGATTGGCTTCCGCATATCAGGGTAGGATTTAGGTAGCCCTTGAGAATTCTTTTTCTCACATGAAACGACAAAAACGGTTTAAATAGGATTTTCTTTGTTTTGTGAAATGCTGCCTTTGCTTGAGATATTCTACAGTTAACATCTTTACTACAAGTACATCTTACATCTGTTGTTATTCGGGTACCAAGGAGCTTAAATCAGTTTTCTGGAGCATTCACCCATTTACTTTGATACTGCATTTGGAGGGTCAATTTTCTTTGTATTCACTATTACATATGGTTTCTGTTGTTCAGACTAAGACCATTGTTTTGACTTTTTGTTAAAATTAACTCCATCATTTCTTGGCAGCTGTGCTTCATTTTAATAGATCAAACTACATCGTCAGCATAGCGCCAGTTGTTTGCATCTTACGTGTGGATCTCGTTGTTACTTAACTGTAAAAATTGAATAAATTGGGCGATAGTAAATATCCATCTCTAATGCATTGTTTAATGTTTTGGAAAGTCCCCACTTGGTTGTCAGTTCTCATGGCTGCTTCTTTGTTTCTGGTTGCCAGAATACACACACACACACACACACACACACACACACACACACACACACACACACACACACACACAAATGTGTGTTTGTGTGTAAAAATGTCTTCAGATGTACGTTTTTAATCACATAAGACCTTTTAATTTTTCAATTTTGATGTTATCTAGCTCTAGTGCCAGAATATATCACAGCGACAGATTCTAGAAAATGTTTGACTTTTTAGCCTATCTCTGAACAGAAAACAACAAACAAAATTCTTAACCTGCACAGGTCTTGGCGACTGCACCAGTCCTTGGCGACTGCATTAGTCGCTACACTAGACCTTGGCGACTGCACTAGACCTTGGCGACTGCACTAGTCCTTGACGACTGCACTACTCCTTGGTGACTGCACTAGTGCTTGGTGACTGCACTACTCCTTGGCGAGTTAACTAGTCCTTGGCGACTGAACTAGTCCTTGGCGACTGCACTAGTACTTAGGCCATACAACCTCAGGTTCAAAGAACCCACAAACACACTCCTGCCTTTCGCTGTAAAAAAGTGTGGGGACGCTGCAACGGGAAAGTGGTAAATCTTCTCCTTCTTCTTTTCTCTACTCCTGGAATGCCTCCTGCATCAGAGCGACAGTGGGTAGTTTAGTGCTCTTTGAAAATGAGATCTCACAAACCGACTAGAATGAACGTGGTAAATATAGGCAGTAAATGTGTTTTTAAAAGGAGTTTTAAGTAACAAGACCGACTAAGCTAGGGCTATTAAACTGGCGGCCCGAGGGTCAAATATTTCCCACCGAGGCATATGTAGTGGCCCACGAATCATTGCAAGTTGATTGTGTCAATGATTTTTTTCTAAAATGGCGCTCAGGCCTCTGGTCCAAGACGATCGTTATTTTAAACATTTTCGTCCCTGAGTAAACTTAATTAAATATCCCTGACCTGCTATATCAGAGTCTAATTTGTCACCTCCTCGTGTGGTTTCCGGGGTCACATTGTGGGGAATACAAGAATACCCTCACTTCATCTCTAACAAGCATGTCGTAGGAGTCGGCTAATGGAGGGTATCCTTCGAAGTCGGAGTGCATCTGCCTAAGAGACAAGGAACCAACAGTCTGGATAAACAAGGAACCAACAGTCTGGATACAAACAAGACATATCTGTGAAACGGATATGCACGCAACACTCATGTTCTTAAACAAGACCAAAGTTTAGAGGTTGATTAACAACTAGAAGTTCCCCTTGGAGTTTTACAGCCTCTGAACGCAAAGAAAAAGAAGTTTATCACTCTCTCTTGTTTCTCCCTTATGTACATATTTACAGGTCTCATTTTACGTATCTCATTTTACATTTTTACAGTTTATATTTACACATTTACAGGTCTTACTTTACATATTTACAGGTCTTACTTTACATATTCACAGGTCTCACTTTATATATTTACAGGTCTTACTCTACACATTTACAGGCCTCACTTTACATATTTACTGGTTTTACTTTGCATACTTACAGGTCTCACTTTACATATTTACAGGTCTCACTTCACACATTTACAGTTTCTCATTTTACATATTTGCAGGACCAATATAGACTTCTGTACAAAGCGCTTCCATCTGTACAGCGAATCATTCCACGAATACAGCAACTTTGGTGCCAGCAGCAGCATCCAGTGAGTCTATTAGGAAAAAAGTAACGGGGGGATGGTCCCTGCAAGATCAAGACAGCAACTAAACGTTGATGGCACATGCTACACACAGTGCGTGGGGTAAGATCAAGACAGCAACTAAACATTGATGGCACATGCTACACACAGTACGTGGGGTAAGATCAATACAGCAACTAAACATTGATGGCACATACTACACACAGTGCGTGGGGTAAGATCAAGACAGCAACTAAACGTTGATGGCACATGCTACACACAGTGCGTGGGGTAAGATCAAGACAGCGACTAAACGTTGATGGCACATGCTACATACAGTGCGTGGGTTAAGATCAAGACAGCAACTAAACGTTGATGGCACATGCTACACACAGTGCGTGGGTTAAGATCAAGACAGCAACTAAACGTTGATGGCACATGCTACACACAGTGCGTGGGTTAAGATCAAGACAGCAGCTAAACGTTGATGTCACATGCTACACACAGTGCGTGGGTTAAGATCAAGACAGCGACTAAACGTTGATGGCACATGCTACACACAGTGCGTGGGTTAAGATCAAGACAGCAGCTAAACGTTGATGTCACATGCTACACACAGTGCGTCGGTTAAGATCAAGACAGCAGCTAAACGTTGATGGCACATGCTACACACAGTACGTGGGTTAAGATCAAGACAGCGACTAAATGTTTAAGGCACATGCTACACACAGTGCGTGGGTTAAGATCAAGACAGCAGCTAAACGTTGATGTCACATGCTACACACAGTGCGTGGGTTAAGATCAAGACAGCGACTAAACGTTGATGGCACATGCTACACACAGTGCGTGGGGTAAGATTAAGACAGCGACTAAACATTGATGGCGCATTCTACAAACAGTGCGTGGGGTAAGATCAAGACAGCGACTAAACATTGATGGCACAGGCTACACACAGTGCGTGGTGTCAGTCTTTCAGTCAACGCCAGGTTGGAAGATAGAGCTAAAGTCAAGGGGGAATAATGCAGCCTACTAAGAACAATGTCTCTTAGCTGTGAATATGTTTTGGTGCATGTGTGTTGGTGCATGTGTGTGTGTTGTGTTTAACAATTATTACCACAGATACACACAGACAAACACACACACACACACACATACACACACACACACACACACACACACACAACTATTGCGAAACCAGTAACAGAAACAACAATTAAACCTCTGTTAGTTAGTTAGTTAATTGAAAGTTTATCCTCACTGAACATCGGACAAGTCAATAAGAGCTTGAATCCCATCTTCAATATATCCCTCAGCGTGGGGCGACTGATAACACCAGTTCTGTGTTTGATTTATATTCTTCTTCTTTGGCTACCTGTATAGTGGTCCTGCTTAGCGACATCTCTTTTCATCTGAAGTTCTTGTAGTCTTTTGAGTGTTGCCGATTCAACGTCGTCCCCTTATTAATTGAACCTCTGTTGCTGGATCTAATGAAACAGGATGGCAAACCTGAGCAGTTAACGGAGAAAAAAAACTAACATAGAAACTAATAACATAAAAAAACTACATCTTTTTTTTTTTTTTTCCTTTTCATATTTTGCTTTGTGCCGTTATGTGGCGCAGGTCAACAGATGATCGGTATCCAGTTCCAGATTACGCTAGGTTACCTGTCTCTGTGATATTGTCCATGTTTGACACTGATAGCAGAAAGTTGGTATGAAGATTTCATTTATAAAATGTACCGTTGTTTCTATTGAGACAGCCGGGTATCTCAAAATGGGGATCAGCTGGTACGTAAAAACTGTTGGCTAAAAGGGAGAAGAAACCTAGATGGCTTGGGCATATGCTACACCTGGCGAAAGATCGCAGATTTCATTACAAATGTCAAGGAAAGATATAAAACCGAACGAAAAGTATATCAGCGAGCTTCACCAGACAAATATATAACACTGACACACAAAAATTACATTCATGTTGTACATTGAAGACTAAAATATGGCACAAATAGCAAACATGTCTAATATAGCACACGGCCAGCAAACATGTCTAATATAGCACACATTTAGCAAATATCTCTAATATAGCACACAGCTAGCAAACTTGTCTAATATGGCACATAGCTAGCAAACATGCCTAAATTACAGGCACAAAGCAAGCATGTCTAATATAGCAAACAGCTAACATATAAGTAAAATTAAGCAGACAGTTAGCAGATATGTCTAATATGGTACATAGCTAGCAAACATGTCTAATATGGCACATAGCTAGCAAACATGTCTAAAATAACATGAACAAAGCAAGCATGTCTAATATAGCAAACAGCTAACAGATATGTAAAATAAAGCACACAGTTAGCAGATATGTCTAATATAGTATACAAAAAGCAAACATGTCTATAAAGCACAAAAGCAGCAGATATGTCTAATTTAACATTCACATAGCAAACGCGTCTTATATAACACACAGTTGGCTAACATATGGCACACAGCTAGGGAGCATGTAGAATATAGCCAACATCTATACGAAATGTCTAATATAGGTCAGTCTGCAGATACGTTTAATATAGCATACACTATAGCAATCATGTCTAATATAGCACACAGCCAGCAGAAATGTCTCATATAGCATGCACAAAGCAAACATGTCTAATATATCCCGCAGCTAGCAAATATGTCTAATTAAACACAGCTAGCAGAAATGTCGAATATAGCATGCACAAAGCAAACATGTCTAGTATATCAAACAGCTGTCAAACATGTCTAATTAAACTCAGTCAGCAGATATGTCTTATATAGCGCACAGCTAGCGAACATATCTAATACAGCACACAGCTAGCAGATATGTCTAATATATCACACATCTAGCAAAAATGTATGATATAGCACTCAGCTAGCAGATATGTCTAACATAGCTCACAACCAGCAGATATGTCTAAGATAGCATACACAAATCAAACATGCCTAATATAGCACACAGCTAACAAATATGTCTAATATAGCACGCACAAAGCAAACATGTCTAACATAGCAGACATCTAGCAAACATGTCTAATATAACACATACTTAGCAAACCCGACTGGTGTAAGCACACAAAAAGCAAACATTCTAATATAGCCACACATCTAGAAAACATATAATATAGCCCACATAATGAAAACATATCTAATATAGCACACAGCTAGCAGATATGTCTTATATAGCACACGGCTATCAGATATTCTAGTATAACACACATATAGCAAACTTGTCTAATATAGTATACAGCTAGCAAACATGCCAAATAATGCGGACATATCTCGAACAAGTCCATTATTGCAAACAGATAACAAAAAATGTCTAATAAAATAAACATGTAATAAACACGCCTCATAGATCACACAGCATAACTGTCTAATAAAAGACACAACAAACAAGTCTAAAATACTACAAAGATCGCAAAGAAGTGTAATATATCCTATACATCGCATATATCAAATAGCACGTCTAAAATAGCAAAAAGGTAGCAAATATGGCTATGGAGACTAGAGTACACAGACAGCCATATAGACCAGTATAGTACACGGAGAGCAAGGAAGACCTTTATAGTGCACGGGTAACAGTAGAGACCTTTATAGTTCACGGGTAACAGTAGAGACCTTTATAGTGCACGGGTAACAGTAGAGACCTTTATAGTGCACGCGTAACAGCAGAGGCCTTTATAGTGCACGGGTAACAGTAGAGACCTTTATAGTGCACGGGTAACAGTAGAGACCTTTATAGTGCACGGGTAACAACAGAGACCTTTTAGTGTAGCACTGGTACATCTCGCCTTTATAGGCACAATAACAGCAGAGACCGGACAACAAAAGCAAACTACTACAATAGAGCACACATATATTTAGGAAAACCACTAAAGCACACCCTTGCGATGGTTTTGACAGTGGTATCAAGAAAGCCGACCGTCCAGGAAGCAATGGCAAACTATTAGACGTAAATTTGCCAAGAGAAACCACACGACAGCCAGCGGCTGTTGGGATTGGTTTTGCAACGTCCTGTAAAGGATACGCAACTAACCTAACCAAAGCACACAGATAACTATAAACATACAGAACACATGGAAAAATAGTGGATAAGCTGTGAACTTTTACAATGTTTTTTATTGTTGAATTATCAGAGCTGGCGAATTGTGTGTGGTCTGTGTGTGTGTGTGTTTGTGTGTGTGTGATTGTATGTGTCTGTGCGCGTGTATATGTCTTTGTGTGGTTGTGTGTGTGTGTCCTTGATGTGATTATACTTAACTTTAAAATATTTAAGTGTATACAATGATTTCTTACAATACCTTTTTTCCTTTATATATATATATATATATATATTTAACAAAGTTCATATACAACATTGTGTGTCAAATAAACCTGCCGTGTTTTTGTTTCATATTGTTGAATGTCATTAGCTGCCATTTTGGTATTCTCAGTATATTGTTTTTGATATCATATTTGATCTCTAAAACTGTTTAGTTGTTTTCTTCTTCTTCTTCTTCTTCTTCTTCTTCTTCTTCTTCTTCTTCTTCTTCTTCTTCTTCTTCTTCTTCTTCTTCTTCTTCTTCTTCTTCTTCTTCTTCTTCTTCTTCTTCTTCTTCTTCTTCTTCTTCTTCTTCTTCTTCTTCTTCTTCTTCTTCTTCTTCTTCTTCTTCTTCTTCTTCTTCTTCTTCTTCTATGTTCACTGGCTACAAGCCCCGGCGGAAAGTCCTTGTGGCTTGTCCTTTTGGACTTTGGCTTTGTACCTGGGCCTGCGTTTTGCGTGTACATCCGTTTTACTAGCTTATTTGTGAGCATTGGGTTGTTACTTACCGCTTGGGCAGATGCACTACGACTTCGAAGAAAGCACACAATTAGTCTACTCCTACATCATGCTTTTTTTTTTAAATAGTCAGCCTGTCTCTTCTTTATTTCTCTCAATGGAGGCCCCGAAATCCACAAGGGGAGTTTCCTTTTGATGGTTCTTAATACGTTAGTCTCCCCACAAAATGTAGGTCAACTCCATTAATAAGTTTATTGGCCTAGTCTACCGTGGTCCAG